TTTCTTTGTGAAAGTAGCACTGAGTTCAGAGAAATTGCTGCAACACCCAGAGAAATTGGTTCTTTAAAGAGAAAGGCCTGTGTGCAGGGAGATCAAGCAGATAACCTTAGCCTGGGGCTACATCCAGGGCTTCTCCACAGAGTTCTTGGAGTCCTCAAAGCTTCCTCAGAAGCCATTCCCTGACCCCAGCAGACTACTGTGCTGATGGCCACTTACAAAGTGAGAAGCACTATGCTCAGGAAAATCTTCTCTAGTTGTGATCCCCTGTGAACTGCACTTTCTGATGCCCTAATTTAGGGGAGGAAGCCCACCCCTAAGGACATGGCCTATTTTATTTTTGTTCTTGCTTACTTCACTGGGCACTTCAGTACACTCAGCAGATAGTAAGAACACCTCATCAAGGAACAAATAACACCTTTAAGTAAAATTCTAAGCTGGAGAACACAGTGCAAGTTCCAGAGAAGCTTTAGTCAAGCACCCATCTGATAAAATCGACAGCCCTAACTTAAAGGGACTTACCATTGTTCTTTCCCTGTAATGTTGCTGAGGGGTGTGAGCAACCTGGTGAACACCTGGAAATACCCTGCCACTGAGAGACACCCTCACACTCCATGGGCTTACCATAAGACCAAGGGGGACATTTGCCATTTATAAAGAGAAGAGGGCCTCAATATCCTTTGTCCATTAAAAAATAAAGATAATAAGTAACCACTATGATAAGGACATCATTAGCCTTGTATTTATTTCTTTGTGCTCTTTTATTTGATCTTTAAATACTTTCCATCCTAGTAGAGATTATAGAATGGGCAGCCAATAACTCTAGCAGAGAAAATTATGACAGAAACCACATCAGTGCTCTCATGGTTACCAACTAGAATTGATCACTGGAATAGGCCCTTTTAAACTTCCAACTATCAGTGATCTTACATTTATAGCAACTTACATAGCAATAACACAATGACATTCTGCTTCCATTTTACAGATGTGAAAACTACAGATGTGCAAGAAATTTAAAATTTTGCACATACTATGAAGCAAAAAAAAAGCCACAGTCTAGATACATCCATGCCCATCTGACTTCAGAAAATTGTCCTCACATTGTGACTCTCATGGTGTGAACTTTCCTGGCAAGATGTCTCAAGACACTTGTACTCCCCAGAGGAAAGAGGGCACTGACAGACCAAAGAAGTGACTCTTGTCCAAGATCAGGTTGGTGAACCAATGAGTTTATTGGGGTTACTTGTAGGTATATGGGTGACTTATGGTAGCAGTACCATAAATCCTAGTCAGCCCCTAAAACCACATGCAGCAAGTGGGCACTGGAGTGAAGACAGTCTCAGGTAAGGGAATGGTGACTCTTCCTCTTTATGAGGGAATTAACAACCTCCTTACTAGTGTATCATGCAGGTGTGCCTTTGTTGTTCTTATTTTCTTGCCTTGACTGTTAGCCAAGTTGTTCCATAGTCACCACAGTAATTATGCTTCGTGCCCACCTACATTAATGTCTCACCTGGAGTAGACAGCTCCACCAAAACAGCTCCAGACACCTGGAATTGTCCTGCTCTTTTGGCAAAAGCCTGGCCTTCAAACATGTCCTGGCTCCTTCATGCTCATCTCGTCCATGTCAAGACCCTGCTCCAGCACTGGCCTTTTGTTTTGGCCCATACTAAGCTAGGTCTCTGTCAACTGATTATGTGACAACACTGATTTATAGCTTGTTGGCTGCATCTTTTATGTACCACATGGAATTCACCATTTCCCATTTTATGCCTCTGGAACTCTCCATTTATTCTGAACTCTTCATAAAATGGAAAATACATACATGCTCCATCATTTTATCCCCCACCTCCTTTTTCTTTCTCTACTCCTTTTCTCATCTCTGAAGATGTTGGTAGCATTTTCTTCACTAAGTATATGTATCAGGTAAAAGAAAAACAAAAATATCTGTTCCACTAATCTATCCCTTACAAGCTTTGTTAAGTTCTCCTGATTCAGGAACCCCACTTATGCCAACCTTCCTTATCTCTTGCCAACTTATGCAGATAGAAGTTCTCAGTGAGATTCCAATTCCTCATCTTCTAATCCAACCAAAATTGTCTTGGAGTATCATTTTCAGGTAGTAACACTGCTCCATATAAACAATCCATACTATCATCTCAGTCCTTTAACAGTCATTACTAACATACCTGAGCAGTCTTTTCAGTTACTTCTATCTTGATACGGCTGATTGAAACCTACCTCTTTGTTTGCTTAAGTACATTATCCTATTTCTTCCTCTTAGCTTTATTTTAACTCTTTAATTTGCACAATCATGCAGCAGAATTACTGGCAAGCATCAGGAAGATAGCAGTTTGAAAGGACCAAATACTAATTCTCTTATTATTAAAAATAATGTTTTGCCGGGAGTTGGTGGTGCATGCCTTTAATTCCAGCACTTGGGAGACAGAGGCAGGCGGATCTATGTGAGTTTAAGGTCAGCCTGGTCTACAGAGTGAGTCCCAGGACAGCCTCCAAAACAATACAGAGAAACCCTGTCTCGAACAACCAATAAAAATAAAAATAATAATGTTTTAAAGTTTCAAAATTATTTTCACAATAAAAACTTCCAACATAAAGTCCTTTTCTATCAAATGTTTGCAATTCTTAAGCATAATTATTGTTATGAGATTCATAATTCAACATGAAAATTTATTTCTACCCCTCAATATAAGCCTCAAGTTACATACAGTTAATTCTACTCTTGGGGTATCATTCATATTAGTTTGACATTGGTTAGTTGGAAAAGAACTGTTTTAGGACACAGCCAAATATAAAAATGATCAGTGGGTGTCCCAGAACATAGTCATTCTATTGGTGGTGGGAGGAAGGGTTTCACAACTGAAGCCACAGAGTCAATTACTCTCCTAACCTAGAGAGGAAGAAGGACCATCAGTCACTGGAAATGTGAAACCTAAACTTCAGAGGACCTTTTCACCTTTCAAATAACAGATTATCTTCTTTACTATATTCTGCTCATTTAAGAAGAGGAAGCCCCTGCAGGCACATTTTCTTGTCTTAATAGATTTTTCTCAAACTTCTATAGTCAGTAGAAATATGCCAAATGCCAAAAGTCAGATAACAATATCTATCTATCTATCTATCTATCTATCTATCTATCATCTATCCATCACCTATCTACCTATCTATTCCCTCTAAGGAGGGTCTTCTTTGCTAGTGTTTTTGTTTCCCTGAAAGATGAAACTCTTTTTTTCCCTTGATCCTAATCACTCCTCAGTTATTTGTAAGTTGTTAAGCATTAGATCCTGTGCTCTAGTCAGAGAAGCCTCTAGAAAGTAAGTGGCCCAGAGGCCCGAGGCAAGATGGAAGCCTGATTCCAGTCTTTGAACCAGCTCATAGATACTCACCAAGAGTCTATCAGAGCATCCTGAGATAAGTGCTGGACCATGTTTGATTTACAAAAAAACAACCTTGATAGTATTCCACTGAGCCACGACCACAGAACTCAGTATTTCATAAAAAATCCTTGATATATCTGTATCCTCGCAGAACTCAATGGCTATACATACTTATAAAATGTATCAAACTGGATTAACATAAAAGGCCGTTTCTGTTCTCTACCTTGCCACTTGCCAGATATCAAACTTCTCAGACTCAGTTTATATAGCTATAAATGTTACAAGCGAATCAGACAAGCTCCCAAACTCCTTTTAATATTTTATATTCACCTCCACCAAAGACCTCTGCATAATCCAAGGTAGTCTAATGTGTGTGTGTGTGTGTGTGTGTGTGTTTGTAGGGGTGTACAATAGAAGCAAACAGTTGTGCAAAAATATATCTCCTTTGCCAATAGATAGTCCATATGCAGAGCTTCACAATCAAGACGATACAAACATGGGAAGAGACACATGAATCCTGCCTGTTGTGTGTCCCCAAAGGCAGAAAACATGTCTTACAACAGGCATGGCTTGTTTCAGCATAGTATAAGATGTACATTCCTTAGATTAACTTCTTGAGCTCTCTAAGAATGATACACAAATAATACTAGTTGTGTTTCTTCTGCAATCTGGAAAACAGTAAAAATATCTCTGTAGGCAAGACAGCATATGGAAAGAAGGACAGCTGCAATACATGAAGGGCTTAGCCACATGGTGTAATTGTGCCTGCTCCATTAGAAGATTTTTATTTTATGCCAAAGCATTCCTTTTGAATGGTTGTTATCTTGTCCTATTTTTATCATAGTCGTAAAATTAAAATGTTCAACCTCCAGGCTAAATGCTATATACAGGCACATACATAATATTATGAATATGGCAGTAACATTTTGTATTAACACACAGAATGAAAGCATTTCTAGAAGGTACTGTAGCTTGTTATTCTAGAGAATAGTCATGAAATAGAGGGGAGAAAGTGATACTTTGCTAACTTTTAGAAATGCTAGGAAACTGCATGGTCTAGGCATAAGTTTACTCAAAGTTGTCCATGAATAATTTTGTAGAGGCTTAAAAAACAGGAATAATTGTTGAGTCTGGCTGGTTTATTCTGCAGTCTCTACATGAATAATCATGGTCACTGAATAGACTAACTCAGACTGACAAATGCAGAATCTCTTTCCTTCCATCTACCTCTCTGATCTGGTGAGTAATCCTTTGCTGAATCTGTGCTTACTTTGACCCTAATTCAGTGTCCATCTAACACCTTCATCCTCTACTTGTGAACTTACTAAAGACAGAGCCCATAAGACGTGACCCTAGCCCCTACCTCTCAACCAGCTGACAACTTGGATCTTTAGAACAACACTGATCATGACCCAGCCATGTGCTCCAACCAGGAAAGCACAGAACACCAACAAAGTTAGTGACAACAAACCTCATTGTGTTAGGAAAGCAGTAACTTCTCTCTGCCTGCTCATCCCCTGATCCAGGGTCTCTGGAATGTTCTCAGAAAAAAAAAACCTGAAAGCCCCTTCTCTCTTGCCAGGATAACAAGTGATAGGACATTACCATGAGGGTGGAGTAGGTGTAGGGATAGTGATAGGCCAGGTAGCAGGCATCCTCATTGTGTGGGAAGGTGACAGAGAAGGTGAGGGTGTAATAACGCTTCCCAGATGCTCCGTCCATGGCAGCTGCGTTCGAACGATAGTGGTTTCTAAAGAAAGAAAGTGAAGGATAGCATAAGGATGAATGAGGATGAGGATGGAATAAGGCCGTAGATGGGGTTGGAAGATGCCAGATTTCTAAATGTCATAAACCTCCTGTGTTACACATTGAGAAGTGAACATTACTCAATGATCCAAAATACCTGTGGATACATGCAAGTGAAATTACTGCCAGCTCATGTATCAGTTCAGCCACACAAAAGCTTGACTCATCGTCTCCCACTTGCACCGTACATGTTGTGGCTTCCTTTGCTGCATCTTGCAGATGAATACTACCTAGAAATTGTGCTGCGAAAGGGGGGATGATGCAAGCAATTCTGTTTCCTACTGTCCTATTGCCGACACCCAACCACATTTTGGTTCCCCAGTCCTTGTCACTCTGCGCAACCAAATATGATACAGATGATTCCTTTAATTTTGTTCTATTTTGCTGTCAGGTACAAAAGCTGCATTTTGTTGCATGTCCCCCACCCTCTCTCCATTACATTCTTCCTTCTTCTTCTGTGTTATTCTCTAAGTTTTGGAGGCAGTCATATACATATCCCATTCAGGGCTGAACACAAGCACCATTTATTCTTGGTGCTTTGACTGTTTTTTGAGTCTCCAGCTAGAATAAGGAGCTTCTCTGGTAAAGGCACAATACAGCACTAATCTGTGGATACCAATCAAGAAGCAACTCACACTCATTGTGTCTGCAAATGGATTTATTTATAGCTGTCACGACTAACATTGAATTGCACCTCAAAGTCCACGTATTTCCTCTTTTGTTACTACTGTAATAACTCACTGTGCAAATGAAGAAATGAAAGCTTAGAAAAAGCAGCTGACCTTACAGAAAATAAGTGCCTGATACAGGATTTGAACACAGATTTCTCTAGCTGAAAAAAACTGTTCTTTCCCCTGGACAATAAGTTCTTACCAAAGGAATGTCTTGTCATCCCAAAGGAGACATTACTTCTTAAGACTTGACAATGCCCATTTGCCTTTGTCAAAGATGAAGAAGCAATTTTGATGCTTCAGAAAACAGTGTCAAAGTAAATTGCCCCCAGAAGTACATTCCAAGCAATATTTTCCATACACACTTCCAGCTACATTTTTGCTTTGCCTGTTGCGGTTGGAACAGCTGTACAGGCTTTCCTGAGAAATGATACCATTCACACTGCATGGTGATGCAAAATACATGTAATAACTAAGAGACAAGTCCACCTTTGGCATGATATTAGCTTGCTGCTTCATTGTGAGATTTTAGAGTTTTGAGTGAGGGAGAAGAAAAAGAGAAGGAGGAAACAAATTGCTATTTGTGTGTTCTTGTAAAACACAGATAGTGGATATTCTTTTCTTCTTTTTGCTACCTGCATGCTTTTCTTACCACAAAGAAAGGCAGTTGTATATGAAAAGAACTAATTGCACACCATCATATTTCCTGTGATTTTGGTGATGTTTCAATGTTTATAAAACTAGGGGCAGGTGTATGAGACATTCTCAATACTTCCAACTACAGCCCAAAACACTATGATTGCTTCAGCTTCTGCCCACATGGCAACCTTGAGCCTTTCACTCTGGCAAAAAGAAGATATCTCCCATAATAACATCAGGTCCAAGTGGCTATCCCACACAATGTTTGAGTTGCACTAATAGTGTCTATTCCCCCACGTGCTTACAGATATAGCTTTAAATATCTAGATCTTGATACCTAACTGGGTCTGTTTCTTCTAGATTTCCCCAATGTTTTGAGGTTTCTCCAAAAGTTAAGACTATGGTTATTAGAAAATGTGCAGGGAAGCAGATGGCAGCCCAGAAGGCATGTGAGGCACATGTGTTCTGTCTTTATTTGTCTTCTGATTGCACTTGCAAAGGCTCTAATGAAAAGGCACATTTTCTTTATATGTAGCTGAATAACAAATAGGTACTGGTCAGTTACAGCTCCTAACCAAGAGAAATGAGCCAAGGAAAATGCCTTAAAGCATGAAAGAGTGTCCAATCTATAGACAAAATACATATGAGCAAGTGAGTGCACACACACACACACACACACACATTCATGAATGTGCAAACAGGTAGAAACATGATCAAATACCTACTGCCACCAGGTTATTTACTTATAAACAATGGGGACAGAGTCAGCATCTTGACTTGAAGTATAATAAACTTGCATAAGAACTTGATGTAGTCATCTTATTTGGCAATGGCCTTGTTGTTTTGTTCATGTGCTCATGAACTATGAAGAGTAGTCATTGTATGCAGTATTAAGTACCAAGGCTCTGTAGGATGTCCAGTGTACACTGAAGTATAGCACATTTCCCCAACACAAACTCAGCCCTCTTCCACTCTGCTACAGAGAACAAGAAAAGGGAGTGAAATCTCTGTATCTGAGATTTCTTCACAACTGAAATCAGCCAGCCCTGGGCTCCAAGGAAAGACCAGTTCCAGAGGAATGGAAGGAGAAATAACATGAGCTGAGTTTGTGATTTCAAGATCCCATGATCCCAGGGATAAAAGGGAAGAATCCAGATGGTAGTTTTAACTATATGAAATCTTCTCACACATGTATACATACAAACATATTAAACACACACACACATGCACACATGCACACACACATGCACATAAACAACTCACATATTACTCTATATAGCCTGAGGGAATCAACTACCCAACTCCCTCCCTGGCAAACCAGCCTTTTCTAAGATGGTTGAAAGAAACTGGAAACTAAATGCTTATCGAGAAGGAAATTCCATTACAGAAAGTTTTGCTGCAATCTCTAGTGAAGAGTCTAAATTGTGGACGAATCTAAAGAAAATTGCAGACTTTACTTCTGGATACATTTCTGGTAATTACACAATAGAGGAGGTGATGACGCTTCCAAACAATGTTTTCTAGAGACTTTTGACGGTATGTCTACAAAATCGCTAAAATGAAATTTGGCTGACATGATTCACTTTGTTCATGGTAGAATGAGAACTACCAATTAGTTGTTTTTGTTTTCTCAGTTGCAGTGTTAACATCCTGAGGGATGTCTTCAAGTAAGTGACATTCAACCTTCCAATATTAGCTGCTTCCCCAGAGTGACCTCGAGTGATCTAAAGGTATAACATCAATTGGCAAGCTAAGCAATAGTGGAAGGACCACCTCGAATGCCCATTCCTGATAATGAACTTGATGTCTATAACTATCCGGGAGCCTTCATCCTGGGACTGATGGAAGCAGAGGCAAACACACAACTAAGCACTGAACTGAACCCAAGGAACCCAGTGACAGAGAGAGAGGAGTGATGAGCAAATTGGCAAGGAATGGGCTGGCAAAACCAGCAGAGACGGCTGATCTGAACAGGGGAGTGCTCTTGGACCCCAGACCGACAGTGGGGAGGCCAGAATGGGACTGATCTGGACCCCCCAAATGTGAGTGTCAGTGAGAAGGCCTGGGCAACCTATGGGGCTCTGAGCTGTGGATCAGTGTCTATCCCTGGTATACAATCTGTCTTCATGTGCCTATGGCACAAAGAGAGATGCTCTCTCAGCCTGGACTCTTAGGGGAGTGCCTTGACCCTACCAAGAGTGAAATGATAGACTCTAGACATCCCCTATGTGGAGGGATTTGGCAATAGGGTGGGAGGGAGGGTGGAAGGGGAGTGCGGGAGGAGGGGAGGGAGAGGGAACTGGGATTGACATGTGAAACAAGCTATTTAAAATTAAAATAAAAAATGATTAAAAAAAAATATTAGCTGCTTCCAGTGTTACAAGGGCATTGAAAGCCTCTGTTGTCATCTTCATTTACCCTGTTTTCTCTCTCAGCTCAAATATATCCCTCCCTGGGATCCTTCTATAACACCCCACATACGCCTTTGACACTTGTATCTCCCTCACAGCTAATACTTACCGAAAGGACCAGGTTTAACCTTTTGTGTGTTGTTCTACTTGCATTCGTGTGTCATGCCTGAAGACAGCAACTTCTCAGTTGAAGTTTTCAGAATAAATGGAGCTAAATTCTCTGAGCAATAATTATGATATCTTGTCTATTTTGCATCAATCTTTGTGGCAATACATTATTTATTATATTTTAAAGCCTGCCTGAAGATTTAGAAAGCAAAGTCAGCCTCAAGCCATGGAAGCCAGGGACACACCTTCCATCCCAGCAGCCAGAAACTAGAAGGTGGTGGTACATACCTTTAATCCTAGGACTCAGGATTAAGAGATAGACATATCTCTGTGAGTCCAAGGCCACCCAGATCTATACAATGTTGAATCAGTCTAAAAGAGAATCATTGCTTATACCTTTAATTCCTGCACTAGAGTGGTATAAAAGATAGAATCATGGCCATAAGTATTCAGTAGAAGGTATTCACTCTCCAGTCACACTGAAAATAGGAACATTCAGTCTCCAGCCATGCTAAGGAGAGATCACGAGTTAGCCATTTCAGACTGAGCTAGAGATGAGAATTAGTGGCCAGGTGCTTACTTTTAGGACCTTGAGCTTGAAGTTTGAACCCCAGGATCAGTTCCTTCAGGTAATATTACCTTTCAGGTAAAAATTACCCTTTCCTGGTAAATACTTCAATAGGTGGAGACATTGGGGCTCAACGCCATGAAGTAGCTTGAGAAATTCCACATAAGCAGTACTTGGTGGGGACTGAAACCAAAATTCTTTTCATTGTATCATTTCTCTCTTAGAAATGGACATAGGGACAAGAGAAATTTTGCTCAGTTCAGCAAGTAAGAATCTCTAATTTTGATCTGTGTGCCCCAGGACTGCTACAGATTTGGAGTCTAAAACAAAGAAGGAATATAAAACAACCTAGGGAGTGCTAGTTAAGGTGAGCTCTGTCCTATGACACTATCCTCAGCATTTGATTCCTTTAAGATGGTTCTAGTAATTACTGTTAACAAATACTCATATGAATTCAATACCTACAGTACTCACTGTCATTGACTTGCTGTGCATTTTATTGTGTGCCCTTTGACCTTCAGAACTGCTCTGTGGAGGTAGATGGCATGTTGGTCCTTAGTTTTATAGACAACAAAGCTAAGATTGATTAAAACTGAGGTAATTTGTCCAAGGTCACTGTGGTGAAGGATTGTGGAACTTTATCCTCAAGAAAAAGTTTCTCTTCTCAGCATCAATTCTGGGTGGAAAAAAAAAGTCTGACTATCATCACCTTTTCACATCAGCTGGACCCTAGACAGGTCATCCTAGAACAAAGATGACATGGGCTACAGAGACCCAGCTGCATCATAGTTAAAAGCTTCCCCTTCCTTGATCCATTCGTCCTCAGAAGGACATGCACTTTGGTAACCATAGCGCCTTCAATGAGGCAGGAAGAAAAGTCCCCCAGGCAGTTACAAATTACATCCATCTCCACTTGTGCTCAGAAATATTCCAGGAAGTTGCATGTCATCTCAGTTGTTCTGTGTGTGTATGAAATTAGCAAACACCAAAGCCACGCTCGAATTAGGCAGTCTCACAATGACGATGGTTCTTTAACAAGGGTACATCATTTGACTTAATGGAATCTAATAAGGCACAGCAGTTGAGCCGCCGGGCTTCCCTGTGACCACAGCATTCCTAATATTCTATATAGCGCCAAATCTCTCTCCTGAGATTCCTCAGAAGGATGGATGATGGCAGCGCTCTTGTATGGCATTCATCTTCATGAGTGAGCTGTTCCATCTCCTCTCATGAACGGAGATAAATGTCAGAAGAGATCAGCTGCAGTGTATTACATGGCCACTCAGTGCCTCCGGCTTCCCTCCCTCTGCCCTTCAGCTTCCAGATTGCTTTAGACCAGAGCTGGGAGAGGATTGGGAAAGGTGTGAAAGCCACAAGTCAGACAGAGAAGCAGGCCACAGGGAAGTAAATAAAACAAACCAACGTGCCCTTGCTTACTCTATGAGAGGCACAGAAAAAAATGAGTCCACCCATTTTGTTCTTCCATCTCTGGAGTCATTCCCAACCCAGGTAGGATAGTGTTGGAAGTAGGTAGGGTATGGAAGCAGAATAGAAACAACAGCAGGGGAAGTGACTGAATGGTGCACATAGAGACAGAATTAAAAGCTCTCCAGGAATGTATTATTTAACTAGGTGACAAAAAAGAAATTAAAATCCCTAATGTGTAATATGGAGGTTGACCTGACTGGTCTCTGAAGTCTGTGTCAACTATCTATGATGAACAATTACAAAATAAGCTTGATTTGGGGGCAGTGGAATAAAACCCTCTCCTCTGTTTTATTCCTGGGAGAGATTGCAAAGAACACACTAAATTCTACATCAGCTGTTTTTATGACATGGAGCACATCATCAATGGCTCCAGCAAGGAATTTGCTGAGAGGGAAGCAGAAATGACTTGGCCCACCCTCTGTCTTTTGCTTTTAGCTTCTGGCAAAGCATTTAAGTATTCAGAAGCACATTTTTTGATGGATCTGTAGATTAGCTTATCTAAACTAACCCTCTCCGGACAGACAATTGTCTTTGTAATGTTCTGTTTCACAGTCACAGATCGATGACATCATGAAATCACAAGCACACATAACAGGAAATGAGCAAATGGAGTATGAACAAGCCCCAGACCTTCAGTTCTAGCTTTCTCTAGAGTGCTATGCATAAAAGTAATCTGGTTATATATGGAAAACTAGAATGTTTGTTCAAAATTATTCAAAAGTGTGGTTTTACACACACACACACACACACACACGTGCACGTGCACAAGAGAGAGAGAGAGAGAGAGAGAGAGAGAGAGAGAGAGAGAGGAGAGAGTTTTGTTTAATTGGGGTTTTTTTCTCACATAGAATCTCACTATATAATCTTAGAGTGGCCTGGAATTGATGAGAATCATCCTGTATTAGCCTCGAAAGCTCTGGAATTTGAGGCATGGGCTACTAGCCAACTATAACTATAGTCTCAATAGTGAACTCCATTGCAAAAGTATCATGTATCCTGAGCTGCCAACAGAATAAAGATGGAGCATCTTTCTTCCATCATTTTAGAACTTCAGTGCTTGTCAATGTATGCAACAGCACTACTAGGTGAAGTCTTTAAAGGAAACTATGAACAAATATTTCCTAGCTAGTGTGTGTAATAACTATGCCATGCAGCTAGTGGTGCACTATCAAAATAATTCCTCAGCTACTTGTAATTGATAACATAATTCAGCCAATAAACCTTTGAAACCTGCTCATTGTTGCTGCAAACTTTCAAAGAAAATGGAGGCCTCATTTTTTTCCATGTATTATTTTCCTTTTACACTTGCATTTAACTACCCAGATACCACACTGATATTTCTCATTACATTGAGCATCCTAGTTTCCCTTAAAACACAACACTAACTGGGAATTTAAGACCAGGATGACAACAGAGCATCTGAGTTTAAACTAGCATAGAGAAGACTAGGAAACAAAGAGGTAAGGTAAGGTTCCCCCTAACTCTCTGGAGACTCACACTCCAATGAAAATAAATGCAGGAATGAAACAAAGAAATTCTCTACCACAGATCAATTCATAGATTGTGATGGGAAACTGGGTAGAAGATGTAGTACAGTAAATGTATCTCATAATAGAGGTGTTGTAATCTGTGGGGGAATAGAGATTATACATATCTAGACTGTTGTTACATAGTATTATTGGAGGTGTGTTAACATATTTGGTGAATAATTGTAAAACAAACTGCATCACAAAGCAGCCGTCTTATCCGTTCATCTTTGTTATATTCATGGCTGGAATATGAAAAATGAATTACATTATACATGCATGGTTTTCATCTTACCCCTCTGTTACTCCTTAATCACATAACAATTGTCGTGTTAATGAATCTAAAAGCTATTAACACTGGCTTCCCTTAGGCCAGGCCTGTGCTTTTGGATATGTGTCTTCATCTTTCTCCTCCAAAGAGACACCTGCTCTCCTTGAATTTTATTCTTACTCCCTAGTTCCAAGAAGAGCATCCCACCAGCGAGCTCTATTCCATTGATTTAAAACCTCATGTTTGAGCAATCCTCATATCCCAGACCCTTGAAAGTTTTATATTAAGTCTTTTACATCTATTGACACTAACTGTTTTCAAAGGAAATTCAAAGATACTTCTGACACAATAAAAATTAGATTCCATATTTGTTCCTGGAAATTGTGAACTCTACAATCCTAAGGTGATTTTTAACCTAAATCTCACTGTACTATAAAAGAAGTCCTAGGGGTCCTAAGATAAGTGGGCCAGGAAATAATTGCCATTTAGGTGAATGGAAAACCAACAAAGTTGTAATATTTTGCTATCATTCTAAAGAATATATGAAAATGCTGCCTATAACCATATCTTAATTCATCAAGGACTGAAGCTGCCAACTCCTTTATTGCAGACTGCTTATCAACTCAGCTCTGTGCTTCGCATGTGTGCTGGTGTTGTCTCTATAGTGATTTCTGCTTTTATCCATACAGAACAGAAGAACCCAGACTTTTGCTGTCAGTACCATTCCCAGAGCCTCGGAGCAAAGAGACAATAAGGTGTATATACCTTCGTTCTCCTAGATGGTTATAATCGTCCTAAACTCTAGATTATCTGCTAGTAGTCTGTTAAGGACCTACTGTAATCTTAGAAAGATGAGTCTCACTTTGCCTGAGAAAAAAGGCACTAGCCTATTGACTATTGATTTTTATGAGATCTAGCAATGACCCAGTAAGGCATTGTGTAAAATGTGCCTGTCCTAATATTTCTTTGCCTTTATTTATGTATTTAAATTTCATTTTCTACGTAAGAAAAATGCACATGTAAATAACAAATCCATTTATTTCACAAAGAATACAGATAATTTAAGTTTTCATCACAAATTTGTTGAGTAAATTGATGAAACTGGCTATTGATTAGAGAATAAACATGAATAATGATGCAACTCTTTTCTCTTGTTTTGTCCACAAAACTATCTCGCTATGGAAGAAGGCTTGCACGTGTACATTTGTCATATAGTCATGCCTCTGTACCCATGAAAAGTAAAGCACGTGTGTATCTAGACAAGACTCAGCCTCTCAGACATCCTGTTCATCAAATCCAATGAAAATAGGTGATGAACTAAGGCCTGAAGCACTAACTATAGCTTCAGTATGAACAACTTCTAAGACCTGGCAATAAAGTTCAAAAGTTTTAACAATCGTGTGTGAAGAGAAACTAACCATTTTCCAGTAATTCCAAAATTACTGAATGGGGGTCTAATGTGAGTAACCATGCAATCTAAAATGTCTCAGGACAAGGCATTGACGAGACATTGACAAACAGTTGTGGATGTTTATAAGGTCACCAGAGAAAAAACAAATAAAAAGGAAGGAAGGAAGGAAAGAAGGAAAGAAAGAAAGATAGATAGATAGATAAATAGGTTGATCGATCGATCGATCGATTGATTGATTGATTGACTGATTTGAGAGTAAATGTCCATGCAGATCAAATGAAGCCAACTGACATACTTGTAGTAACAAATTTCAGAGCCTGTCCGTATCCAGGCAGGTCGGCCGAGAAGAGCTTCTTTCACAGAATACAGGGTCGGCTGCATCCCTGTGAAATAAAAGCAAGACTTAATTCACAAGAAAAGAAAAGACACCAAATGAAGAGTAGAGCAATAGGCTGGATCATGACCCTGCAAAATACCCAGTTCTTGATCTGTCAAGGCTGTGCTGTGAATGTTCATTATATATCGCGAAAGAGACTTTGCAACTATAATTAATTTAGATATTGGGCCAAGGTGATTATCCCTATGCGTCTTGAATGTATCCACAGATGTCCTTATCAAGAGGAGGCAAAGGGAAATTTGACTAAAGAGAAGCAGTATGACCAGAGACATTAAAGATGCTGTGCTACCAGCTTTATAGAGGGAGGTGTCATAAGCCAAGAAACACAAGGAAAATAGCTCCAGAATTAGGAAAACAGCATGCCTTCTCCCTTAGAATCCCCAGAGAGAATGCAGCCTTGCACACACTGAAACCCCCATTTTTATGAGATGAATGTATCAAGGCTCATATTTTCTCTTTCTTTAGGAATGAGTGTCTGTTCTAGGCAGTATGGAATAGAGGCAGGGCCTGAAGTAAAATGATACAAAGATAGTACCCATAGTTAGTCTTCATCCAGAGCCACCACATGCGTTAGCAAGTGAGCTAGCTCAAATAGATGATCGGTATTTAAACATTGCCGGAGTTTTCTGAGTACATAAAGCACTGTTCAGGTAGATTTTGCAGCTCTCCTGTCTTGCAGCAAGCAGGCCAATATATTTACTCTTGTGATATTTAGAAGATGAAAAACAGAAATAAGTGAAAGCAACTTCCAGACTTCAAAGTTAAAAATGTGCACCCCAGAATGTACTGACATATTATGTGCACTACTCACACTCCGTGAAAGAGTGAGAATCCCTCACTGTCCTTCCGTACTTGCACTATGCCCTCAATCGGCTACTGTCTTCCCACACTGGAAAGCAAAGGCCATCAGTCTAGCCTCAAGCCTTCTGGGACTGCAAAAGGGCTCTGACAATAATGTAAACAATCAAGAAGTGTCACCATTTATGATATGCAGATAAATTCCCTGGTTCCCCAAGAGTTCATACCATAGTTGAACTGGCTGTTGGGTTTCTCACAGTTGATGATGTTGAAGCGGTAAGGGATGGCAGCCCTCATGCCGCTCACCTTGAAGTAGAACCACTGCTGGTGCTGGGAGCTGTTCACATCAGCATTGATCAATAAGTCGTACTCAAACCTGTAGCGTCATAAAGAAGAACAAAGGGTGAAGTTGTTCTTCAAAAAAGAAAAAGTAATGTTTGTGTTCTAATTCATGCACACGCTCCCATTCCTGACCCCAGATAAATATTATTTGTCTTAGTTAGGATTTCTGTGGCTGTGATGAAACACCATGAGCAAACCAAGTTGGGGATGAAGGGGCTTATTAGGCTTATGCTTTATATTGTAGTCCATTATTGAGGGTAGTCAGGTCAGGAACTCAAATGGCAAACACCTGGAGGCAGGAGCTGATGACGAGGCCATGGAAGAGCGGTGCTCATTGGCTAGCTCATCATTACTTGTTCAGCCTGCTTTCTTATAGAATCAGGACTACCTGCCCAGGGATGGCACCTTCCACAACTGAATGGGCCCTTCCCCATCAACTACGAAGACAACACCCCACAGGTGGAATTTATCGAGGCAATCTCTCAACTGAGGCTTCTTCTTTTCAGTTAGCTCCCGCTTGTGGTAAGTCAACAGAAGCCACACAGCACAGCACTGTTTAGTGATAACCATGGAAGGATACAAATTGTTACAAGATATGAGAGTATGGCAGAGCTTCCTGATGGAGTCCCACCTCTCATCCTTTGGCTGTCAAGATCAGCTCAATGAGCTCACCATGCAACAGCTGAAGCATATTCCACTGGGTGTGTACATCAGCCCTACAAGCAAGTCTATGACCCTTAGTTTTTACTGTTGCCCCGGTGATCACTCAAAAAAGTAGTCTTTAAAAAATCCTTATAAAATGTTTATTTTCTTCCAATTTGCTCTGCTGCTCTAACTATAACTGATTTATTAGGGATTCCTATCTCTGATTAAAAGCGTATCTAAAGAGAAAACAACTGAACCATTGCAGCAACTTAGGCAGATTCTGGACTGAAAACAATCCACACAGGAGACTCTTAAGTAACTCTTACCTTCAGAATGGTTTGAATTTGACTTTAGAAATAAGAAACACTGTAAACAGTGTGTAATTGATTTCCTTTCCTTAGAAACCTATGCCTGCATTTGGATATGTACAGCTCAATCTCTTGCTCGCTCAACCTCTCCCTCCCTCCCTCCCTCCCCCCTCTCTTGCCCTCTCCATCTCTGGCCCTGTTTCCTTCCTTCCATACTTAAATCTATATTAAATTTTTTCTTAACAAACTCCAATGTTGTAAGAAAAGCAAAACAAAGATTCTCTTCAATGTTGTAGCATACATCTTCAGCCTTGCAGACCTAGAGTATCTGGCAGACTTTCCCATGAAGAAGGAAATTTGAAGGACTTTCCTGCCTTGTATTGGCAAATTTCATCAGTCACTTTCCTCTGTGTCCTGAAGAATGTCTGTCAAACTCTTCCTTGAAACATGAGCCCTTAATGACAATTCCAACTTGTTTTTTGGAAGTTCAGCAGCCACTTTCTGTGGGTCCTGCATGTCCAATTTAACCAGAATGTAGTCAAGGCAAAAGCAGTTTCTTGCCCAAATGTCTAATCTTGTCACCTTGAAAGCAAATTCCTGTGGAGTTTCTTTAATATCTATCATTTTCTTTGAAATAAATTGGTACTACGAGGGACAGCTGTACCTCACTATCATGAAAAACCTTATGTTAATGAAAAACTTTAAATGCCATAATCTGTAGGTCTTTGAAGTGGTCTTTGGGTGACTTCTCAGGAAGTCAGATGTCTCTGTCATTTCTAGAGTTCTGGAAGTTGCTTGCAATGCAATTACTGTTTACTCAGGTAATATTATATACTTTTGGGGTCTTGGACAGGGTTAAAGAATAGACAGTTACAATTGCAGATTTCCTTAATTAGAATAGAAATTAAATTTTATATAAAAGTTTGGAGTCACTAAGATGGGAGGGATGGTCCAGTGTTTTCTCTGAATTAGCTAAATACAAATGAACTGAATATTATAAATTAATTCTTGCTTGATAACTGCTTCGTTGTATATAGTTTTACTATGTCCAAGTTAAAACCTTTTATTTTTATTTAGGCAAAAAGGAGAAAATGTAAAATACTGGCTAAAGAAAAGTTACATTTATTTATGCTGGGAAACATTTGTTTAATGATGCAAAGATGTGTTGCATTCTTTTATGTTGCATTTGTTTAACTCTGTAAATCTGTGTTACTTTGTCTAAAATACCTGATTGTTCTAATAAAGAGCTAAATAGCCAACAGAAAGGCAGGAGCAAGGATAGGCAGGACTGTCAGACGGAGAGAATAAACAGAGGGGTGAAAAGAGAGAAAGAAGGAAGATCGAGGAAAGAGGAGGAAGAGAGGAAAACATCAAGGGCCAGCCACCCAGTTACACAGCAAGCCACGTAAAAGTAGAGAAAAGTATATAGGATAAAGATAAAAGCCCAGAGGCAAATGCAGGTGGGATCACTTAAGTTAAGAAAAGCTGTCTAGAAATAAGCCATGCTAAGGGCAGGCATTCATAAGAGAAAGAAAGAAAGAAAGGAAGGAAGGAAGGAAGGGGAGGAGGAGGAGGGAAGGAGGGAGGGAGGGAGGGAGGGAGGGAGGGAGGGAGGGAGGGCAAAAACAAACAAAAGCCATGGGACAAAGTAGAAACTGATCTGATAGTAGGATAAGTAGGTTGGAAAGTTGATTTGATTGTCTTTTAGTTTAACCCAAGTAACTCAATTTGTCTCTCCCTTATGTGTCAGACTTTGTTGAAGTAGTTCATGTACAAAAATAAAACCAAAAAATGTCGTTTCATATATATATATATATCTCCCCCCAAAAATTAACTTCAAAATGAAATGTTAAATCTAAATTCTAAGTTCAAGTCGTGGTGAGTATGTGTTCCTGCCTAAGATCATGTTGGCTAAGTGCTAACCATGTACCTTGCACAATTCAAAGAGTTTTAAGCATACTAATTAATTCTGACAAAACAACTACAAAGTAGATGTTGCTACTATCCTTATTTTGCAGGTGAGAAAATAAATGCATGGAATGGCTAGGCAACTCAGTCCTAGGCCATGTAGAAAGGGGTAGAGGCAGCCATGGTTGTTTGATTCCAGCATGCGTGGCCATTATACCATTAACTATCATATACTGCATGATTTGTCAGAAGTTCACCCATAGAAGAAGGGTTATATAACTAGCAAGTCTAGTCCACTCTATGGCAGAATTGTGTTACACCAAGAACACATGTTAAAGAATTGTTTCACTACAGCTTAAAAGAGATCATCTCCTTCGTTTTATTTTTTTTTCCATCCATACTCTGTCCTTGTCTAGAGTCTTTGTATAGTAATAAAATCTCCTAGGTAGCTTTAACCAGAAACACATAGCAGAGTTCCTGGAAACAAAGATGGAAATCCAAGATTGTTGTCTCATAAATACAGCCCTGTGCAATTAACAGTTATGAAGAGGACAAGGAACAGGGAATGTCCTGTACCCTTCTGTGTCAACAGGTCCAGCTTTGGGATAAGGGAAGTTTAATATGCACTGAGCAAAGTCTCTTACACTGAAATATGGAAATGCCATTTGGAACATAAGATACGTGAATGCATGTAGTGAACAGTTCACCTTGCTAAGGCAAACTTCAATGGGCTCCCTCACTGTCTGTTGAGAAACCTTTGAAATATGGGAGAGGAAAACTTTTACCGGTAGCATTTGCCAATTTTCTTGGTAAAGACACTATCACAATGATCAGTTTCAAACTACCAATACGAGGTCAATGAACAGATAATGGCAATAAATGGCCAATACCTGCTCTCCTGTGCAGACAGGAACCGTACCTGTAGCTGTTCTTACTTACTCGCGAACTTGGATGGCTTTGCGAAGATTTCCTGATTCAAACTTGGAGTGGAATCTCAAGCAATTGGAAATAGGGCCTTGCAAAGGGCTATAAGAAAAGAGGCGGTATATAAACATGTTTCATTTCTGTCCTTAAACACAGTTTTACATTCCTTAAAGGTAAGATGTCTCTTACAATGTTTGAAACTAAATAGTCACCATACTAGTGACTATTTTAGAACAGAAGTGGATTGCCAATATGACACACACCTATGAACTACTATTAATAAAATTCTCCATGCCTCCCATTCCATTGGTGTTCAAGACCACCTACCAAGGCTCATCTAAACTGAAGACAACTTTATTTATAACATCACTTGGCTGGAGGAACCTCCGGATATCCTCAAGTATCTTGATCCTTAAAAAGGAAATTGGAAACAATGTAAGTGTTTGTGCCCACTTTTTACCTCAGTCTCAGAAGTCATTAGAAAAAACACAGAAAATAAAGCTGCTTAACAATGCCTCAGCCTAGAGTCAAGGGGTACAGATAGCACTGGAACACAAGGGAAGGTAATAGGTTTTATTCAAGCTATTCATAGTTTGAAGAAAGCCATCAAGAGAATCTGGGCTAGGCTACTGAAGTTCTTCTGGCTGTGTGAATAGGAAATTCCTCTGCACCGAGGGAACTTTGAGGGAGAAATTACCACTATTGACTATTTGTATCCTTGAAACTTAGGTAGCTCCAGCAAGGCTTCTACCTCAAATTTATTCTGTACATTTGTATTCCTTAGTCTCTTTCTGTTCTATAAAACTGAGGTCAGCTTTCTGTCTGCATGAAAAGTATCTGTGTGATTTAAATAAGAGGGAGAGAAGAAGTTGAAGAGGGGGTTTCTTATCTCGCCTCACATTTCCAATTCATTTTGTTGACATTGGGTAAGAGAGTGGTGAAACTAATGTGAACCCGAAGCCAACTGAGAAAGAAGAGATTTTGTGCAGAAGTAAGATGCAGACAGACCACCCACAAAGTCTTAAGAATGAGGCGCCTAAGCATGGCATTCATGTTGAAGTGATGTCAGTCAAGATTTCAAGTGGAAACTGTTCTTGAACCCTACCATCAAAAGAAAAATTTGCTGAAGACATGAAATTTAAATTAAAATAAAATTCTAGTCTGCACATTTGACTCTATTGGCTTCAGATATGTATACCCACATTTTTCCTCAGGAGAAATCTATATTCCTTCCTTTTATTGGATTTAATTTTAATCTCACTGTGCTGATCCAAAGACAATGCAGTCTTTCTTGAACTCTGGAAATAATTTATCACTCAAGATTGCTGTCCTGGAGAGTATGTGGGGTGTTTTTCCATCGTTTCCTCAGTGATAGAGCAAAACCACTCTCCAAACACTAGGGCTATGTAACAGAAATATGCTATTCTTCTCTATCAACAAGAAATCAAGTACCGATTTGTAGTAAATTCCAAAAAGATCTCAAGTAACCAGATCCTTGTTTTTCTGAAAAGAGTCATTTTAGGAAAGGTTACAGTATGTGGAGACACTAGCTGATGTCCCCTGTTGTAATAACTTGTCATGGATATGATTCAAGGGTTTATATTAGAATCATCCAAGGAATTCTCTGTCCAGAAATAATACATAGCTACCAGTGTCCCACACTTGGTTTATAAATGCTCCAGTTTAGAGGACAGATTATGGGTCTCCAAAGGGTTTTAACATACTCTAGGCTAATGCTCAATTTCTAACATTTAAAAGATTATCTGTATAAACCACTCCATATATGAAAATATTTAAGAGAGAAAATCTATGACTTCCAAGTCAGTAACACCCTCACCTCTGTATTCCCCATTTGCGATCCAGAATGGGCTGAGCAGTGGGAGGCGGACAGTGACCCCAGAATTCAGGAAATGCCATCATCTTAAATCCCACAGCAGATCTGGTTCTCATAGCATTGGCCATATAAAGATGAGGGTCATGGAAAGGTGTGTGCCTGGGATGCACTTGCAGAAGCTTCTCTGCAGCTTCTTTGTTTTCTTCAGGCTTAGTGGAGTTGGAAAATGAGGAAGGTATCCTTGGGCAAGAAATTGATTCTATGTCCCAAGCAGCCTCTTCTAGGGAAGCCTGGATGTCAGAGGTATTATTATATCCAGAGGAATCTACCCCCAAACCATTGTGTTGTGTACTTTGGTTTGCATTCATTGTAGGTCTTTGTTTTGAGGATCGCTGTGTAGTGGACTTCCCTGACTTCACCATGTCCAGAATGGAAGTTTGAACCATGTCTTCTCTTTCTCGTCTCCAGGAGCTGTGCTCCTTGCTGAAGCACTGTTGTCTTAGAGAAGCAGCATTTGGAATGTGATAGTGACTGGCATAAGAAGTGTCTCTCAGGTTCAAATCATCTCCATACTTGGGTTCTAGTTCCTTCAAATTCAAAGTAGAAAAACATCTGTATTAATGTTTCTTTCCAGATAGACAATACAATTTGACCCCTATGGTACCTATCTGGATCCAAAGTTAAGTGTAATTCTTGTGATTTAGAGTTTTTTTCAAAGAGTCAAGCAAAGGTGGAGGGCTGGGGGACCTAAACTTTAAGACTAAACAAATGCCAGACTCACACAAAAGTCATGCTCAGAAGGGGATTTGCATGGGTCTAATATAATTCTCTGCAGTTTGAAAAAGGTTTTGCAAGCCCCCCCCAAGCCAACAACCTCATTTATAGGGGCTCCAGTGATAAACAAGGGAAAGCCCTTCACTGTGCCCCAGACAGTGCCTTTGATTTAAAGACAATTCTGATATTTTTTTAAGTCTACACTGAACTGAAATGTTTTTCACTGAAACTTTGACCACTGATTATCTTCTGCTTTCTAAAGTGAAATAGGATATATCAACTCCTCTCTGCCGTTTGATGTGGCCAGACTCATCATTTGTTAAAAGCAATAAGAAAATAATAGAGATCAAAAGGCAGGTCCAAGGCTCGATATCAGCAACAGCAGCAGCAGCAGCAACTGCACACTGGGTTAGCACTGCCAGATCCAAGGTGTTCATTTGCCTTTACTGATCCTGAAAGCCTGAAATCTGGATGGGGACCTTTAGCAATCCAGCTATAGTGATGGCCTTCCATCCAGAATTTCATGTGCTTCTTAGTGTGGAACCAGGTCTCTACACTGACACAGCAAGTCATAGTTAGTAATGTGTAATTTAATGCCAATTCTATGCTAGAGTAACAGCCCCAAGGACCCTTGAGAATGTTCTGGTCTCACTTCCTTCTCCCTTCTCCTTTTCTCTCAGAAAGATCTAGGGACAATGGTGATGATGAACAATGTGATGCTTCTGGACACCTCTGTTTGGCTTCCCAGGTTCTGCAAAGATCACACCATACATCACCAAGTAGACTACAGCCCTTACTTACCTCAAAGCTACAGGAGAGCTCAGGACACATAGCATCATATTGTGCCAGCTCCTCCTCAGGACGGTCAAGACCAGGTTTAGAACTCAGTCTGTTCAGATCAGTTTCCAAGTCATCATCCTACAAAACAAAGAATGGGTCACAGTCAAGAAATCCACCCTGCAAAGCGCCAAGACAAGATATATATATCTGCTTCTTTACCAAATGAGGCCATGAGTTCTTTATCTTCAGATTATAATGCTAGCACGGTCAGGAAAGAACTTAATAAACAAGGTTACATTTTTAGACTTAGAAGAATAAGGTCATTAACCCTTTTCAGCATGCATGTCAGTATCTACTAGCAAAATATGCAATAAACTATGTAAATAATAAAACATGCTATAAGGAATTCTTTGTATTGTTCATAAATGGTGTCATTGCTGTTGTCACCTTTTTCACTTGGCTACCATTGCTTTTTGGGTGTTTCACCTGCACAGACATTTAATGAGCACTTTCTAAGAGCAAGTGCCTTTCTAGATACTAAAGATTTGGTGGTGATGGAATAAAGGCCCATGGTCCTGTGGGACTTGTCTTCTAGTAAGAGAACTGAGACAGAAGTAAAGTAAATGGAACACTGTCCTTTCTAACGGTGGTAAATGTACTGAAAATGCTGGAGGATGGGGACAAGATTGACAAAAAGACTGAAGTTTCTGGGTCTAAGACCCTACTACAGCTGGGGACTGTGTTGACATCCATGGCCTGTATTATCACCAAGGACCATTCAGATGTCCATGGACTGTTCTGCCACCTGAAGCCATGTTGAAGTCTATGGACCATGTGGCCACTGGAGGCCATATTGATTTGAGTGGCCTACACTGCAACCTGAGGCCATGGCAACATCTGGACCTGTGTTGCCTCTGGGAGCCAGGTTGGAGACCTTGTTCCTACTGCAGTGAAGGTCTGTGTTGATGCTTGAAGCCCCCGCAACCATCCAAGTCCAAGTGGGTGTCTGTGGTCTATGCTGCAGCATGAAGCCATGTTGATGTCTATGGTATAGGCTGTCCCTGGGGGCCTTGTCTGGGTCTGTGGTCCTATTACAACCATGACCACGTTTGTGGTCTGTGCTGTCACCAGAAGTCGACTGTGAAAAGCAAGGAAGCTACTTGGGCAGTGTTATCGATGACTGCAGATGCACAGTTGAGAAATAGGGACATGGAAGGCTTCTGTGACAAGTCCTACCCCCCACCTCAACCCCAACCCCAGCCCCAAAAGGTAACAGTCTAAACAGGAAGCCATCAAAGAGAACCCTTAAAATATGTGATAAGGATGTGCAAGTGTAGCTCTCCACAACAGATGGCTTCCTTCAGGCAGGACCGCAAGAAGGGGAAGGATTCAGTTCTATCTAAGGGACAGGCCACTGAGCATTTTGGACAAGCTCCAGTAGGAATACAGATAACACAAATTAGATTTTTTTGTTTTTGTTTTGTTGTTGTTTTGTTGGGGGGAGCACAAGGCAGAGAGGGCAGACATGGAAGGACTGGGAAGTGAGTGTGATGGGGTATATGATGTGGAATTCCTAAAGAATCAATTATGTTATATAGGGGGAAAAAGACTGGAGTGTGAGTAGCTGTTAGGACTGAGTGACCTGAGAAGGCTCACAAAGGAAGTCACTGCGGTGTACTGAGACCTAGAAGACACAAAGAGCAGCACATATAGACAGTTCTTTCCAAAGGTGCTGCTTGAATTTGCTTACATAAAGAAGATACTGAAAGCATGAATAAGAGGAAGATGACAGCAGATGAGATGTGAGAAGAGGCAGCAGAGGAGCACGGCCTATGTGAGCAGTTTCTGGAGAACAGTCTATTATGCTGAGCCTGTGTCTCTAAGTGGGGTTAAAAGTTCACAGTCACTGCTAGTTTTCTCTTCATGGAGCAAATCATATGAGCAATTATGCTTTTCTTCTAGACCATCATCCTGTAATAGCTTCATGGTGATACTGACTCTACTTTGAACATATTTGCACTTTCCAAGGGTTGTGGAGTCTTACAAATGTCTTAGAATGACAATGTCTAAGCTCTCTGCCTTTCTGTATCCTAGATCAAATATCCTTAATAAAAGAGAGGACAAATACCTACCACATAGAAACATTTGGAAAGTTAAGGAAAACCTGCCAGTCCTGAAGGCCTAAATCAAAGAAATGTGGGAAATAGATGCCTATATTTCTGAGCCAGTGCAAAAGAAGTATATGCAATGTTCCACTCATCTTACATAATTTTCCAACAAACTCAAATCAAAAGAAAAGCATATGCCCTGAGTTTAGCTTAATGATACATTCAGGCCCCATTCAGACAGGCTGCCCTACCCACTACTCTGTCTCCACAAGCTTTGTCTGTGCATGTACATATCTATGCATGTGGTGTGTATACAAGAACCCTATAGTTTAACCCTTACATCTCCAGGAACCCTCCCCATATCTCGTAAGGCTATTTCTAAGCCTCTAAGGATGGACCTGCTATTGTGTCTTCATATTATGTAGAATACTGATAGCTCCTTAATCTAGAGAATATGTTCTTACCCTTCCTCCTTAAATTGTGCCTCTTGGGCATGGTCTCTGCCCTGCCTCACACTTGCTTCTTCAAATTATAAGTTCTAATTTGGTCTTTAGTAAAGACAACTCCCAAGTTCATGACAGTGTGAACTCTGACAGTAAAAGTCAGCATCTGGTTTATTTTTGTGTCACACAACCAAGCCCCAGAACTTTTCCTGATGTGTATGGATCCTACAAAGCAGCTGAAAGAAAGAAAAGAAATTCAAAAGGGAAGGCAAATAAAGTGGGGAGAAGGAGAACCTGAGTAAAGTTCACTCAGCTCTCCCCATAGTTGACTCAAATCTACTGCATGCACGAAGAGCACACACAGCCAACACCCCATCTCCATGTAGTGTTTCTCTTTCCTGTGCTGACCATGACCTGTCTACTCCTCAGACCTTCTACTCACAGGAGTTTCTTGTAAATATTTTTACTCAGATATAGGCCACATTTGTCTGCAATTTTCAAATGAGAATGCTACAGACTAAAGACCTATGTCAACTCTGTGAGTAGAAAACAAAACCGGCCTGGTTACTTGTCCATGTTCTCGGCAGCAAATGTTACAGCATTCACCTAGGAAAAGCTAGCTGCTGGAGGGCCAGTTCTAGGCTTGCAGTATCCCAGAATCAAGCCTAATTCCTATGCTACCCCATTGCTCTACAGCTCCTATTCACGCCCGATTCTCATCATCTCCTCAGCCATAGGCTTTGATGAATAGTTTCCAGATCCTCACCAATTTATCTTCTGCTTCTTTCCCAGTGGGATTTTTATATCTGTTTAGTTTCCACTCCCCCCCAGCCTACCATCTTCTCCAGAGTAGAGTCAGGGGAAAGTATCAGGACACCCTCCCGCTCAAGCTAGCTGTGTGGAGTCAGGCACTGACATACGCTGTGTCCCCCTGCATCAGATACAAGAGACGACTGACAGTGCATCAGACATCCAGTTATCAGAGTGCAAGCAAGAGGGGAGTGCAAGGTGGCATTGATGAATGACTGCAGCAGCCCAGTATTATTCAAATGATTCTGCACGTACTCCATAGGCCTGTGTGGCCGAACCACAGCAAAGAAGCAATTTGCTGCTGATGACTGCAGAAATGATTCTATTTATCAACAAAACCCTGGGAACAACAGACTGTCAACAGCAGTCTAAGCCCACAGATGGGACTGAGAGATAGCCCCTAGATGTCTGCCCCTGGCATCAGCAAGGGGGGTGCTCACATTGAGAACCCTGAAACCTCTTTGTGTCTAGGAAAGGAGAGAAGGGAACAGAGGAAGGGGGAAGACAAGTAAGGAAGAGGAAAGGGGAGAAAGAGAGGGGGAGGGGCTTGCTTCTTTTATTTTTGTATAACATTTTAAATTGTGTGTGTGTGTGTGTGTGTGTGTGTGTGTGTGTGTGTGTGTGTGGTGTATGGTGTGTGTGTCTGCATGCAGGAGGACTGGGGGCTGCCTGTGTCTGTGGGTACATGTGGAGGATGCATATATGTTTATGCCCATGTGTGTATGTGTGTATGCACACACGCATGTGTGCACGCACCTGTGCACACATGTGAATGCACAGAGGTCAGAGGACAACTTGGGAAAGATGATTCTTCCTTTCCGCCATATGGATTCTGTGGTTTGAACTCAGAACATTAGGCTTTGCAGAAATTGCCTTTTTCTGCTTGAGCCAACTTACTGGTACAGAATAGTTTTTTAAATTTGAATGTCACTATTAGGACTGTCTTTTGGATCTTATGCTACCGATGACAAAATTAATGAGCTATAAATGGAGAAACTTATCCAAAACTACACACAGCAGGGGAAATGGAGACAGAATTATAACTCATAAATGAACTATCAGTTTTCAAGGAGAATGGCTGTCAATTAGGAGCGATTTGGACGTTCCTAGAGATATTTTTGGTTTACGAGTGAGTAGCAAAGTGATGGATGCTATGGGGGACTAGTGAGTGGAGAACAGGGATGCTGTGAAGCATCACACAATATGACAAGAAATATCCAGTCAATATTCAAACAATCATAAAGTTTAAAACACCTATCCCACAAAAAAGCAGTCAATGAACTGTATTCTTCAACCTGAAAAACAGCCATACCCATTCATTCCAGTATTGTGGATGCCAGTTTTTGTATTATAATGGCACGTTGAGTCATTGAAACAAAGAACATGAGGTTCAAAAAGCATCAAATAATTACTATGTGAACTTTGATTAAAAGAAAAGATTACTGACCTCCCTTCATGGGCCACTGTGTGGTAGGGAACAAGGAGCATCACTTCTTTGGGAAAAGAGCTGCACACATTGCAAGGCATGGAAGACTAATTCAACAGGTGTGAATGGGGATGCACTGTCCCACATCCCTGTGCAGAATGGACAGGGGATGAGAAAATTGATTGATGAAGACAGGTGAGGTCTAGCAGAATGTTTCCTAAAATATCTTTCCATACTTATTCAATACACCAACTCTAAGCAAGAGTCTGTCAGGCTCATCCTGATAGAATATTAGATCATAATCAATAGACCTGTTTCTACAAAGAGGCTATGTATGAGACATAGCAAGGTGAAAATGGTATCTGCAAAACCAACAACAGTATCCATGCCTTGTAGACATCATTATCATTGGAGTGTCAATACTGGAGCAAACTCAGTAAATATAGGAAGTGATATATTTTCTTTTGCATAGTATCAGTATGACAAGCAAGGGCTGGTTTACCTACTTCTTTCACAGCCTCCACATCTGATTCTTTGTCCATTTCCTCCTCGCCATCATCTTCAACATCTTCTGAGTGGAAAAAGGAGATCAAAGAATGAGTGTGCTCATTGTCTGGCATTTACTCTCTCATGCACAGTGGCTCGCATTTCTTGCAAATAAGGGACCCATTACAAATGTACTGTATCCCTGCATGTGCAGATTCTCACTGATTTCTATATATGCTGTGCACATGACTATATGGGATCAGGATGCCATGTAAAATGCAAAATGAATTTGGACAGAAATGACATAAAAGTGACACTACCATTATCCTCCCACCCAAATTGGATTATTGATGCAAATGACACTGTCTTAGAGTTTATAGGCCACATGTACACTAAACTCATTGGAATTTAGATAGTGCCTTGACTAAGTTCCTAATTTTAAAATGGAGGAATGCATTCCAGAATTATCCACTAAGTTTAGAAAGTATCAGCTGCCATGTGACAAAAATTTCAACTGTGGGAAATCTGCTCCCCAGAGGAAGGTCAGGGTAAACAGCACTAGGGTCTTTGACCTTAAGATCTTCCTGGAGGTTAAATCATCCACACTTTCTGATATTCTAAAACATGTATCATGTGGTTTTACATGGTGAAAGTTTTATTGCAGCCTTGTCCAAATGACAAATTAATTCCACCAATGGACAGTGCAGTAAAGAGATTGGGTCACAAAATTGTGAAAAGATTGTTTTTCTTAATTAGATGAGATGCCTGTGAAGGCATTCGGTAGCCACCAGGCAAAGCGGTGACAGCTAATAATTAGGGACACTGTGAGTGAGCATGATGCTTGTTCTCCCTGCTTATGAAAAAGTCTACTGCTTCATACATGTCTCTAATGAGCTTATTAGAAGATCATGGTTGACCTGTACAACAACCGCTTCTGCTTTATTCCCCATCCCTCCAACATGCTGTAAAATGCAAACACTGCTCTGAAGGCTACCTGCTACCTTACCTTCAGTGAGAGCTTGTGGGAGCTCTGAGCTGGTGCTCCCGATAGCTGGGAAGGTGTAAGCACTACTGGCCGTGACCAAGGGAAGTGGACTCTCAGGGTAGCATTGCCTGAGGATCTGAAGCACCACAGAGATCACAGGTTCCATGCTCTTGTTGTCCAGGCAGGTCTGAGGAGAGAGAATATCACAACAGACCCTGTGTACAGCCCCCATACAGGGATGTTATTTCAGATAGCAAAATGCACACAGTCTAAGTGGACAGCAAACAGTCTCACTGTATGTTTCGTTGTTTGAACATTCCAATGCAGAATAATATCTACTCAGAGTTTGCATCATTATTTCTATTTTGCTGCTCAGATAGCATTGGGATGAGCTTAGTCTGGGAGTAGACTTGAATTTATTTCAAGGGAGGCTGTACCTGAGGCAAGTCCTTATCTGGGATGCCTGAGGAAAGAGGGGTGACACATTCCTTCAGGCACCCCCGAGTCACTATGAATTATTGCCTAAGTTAGGGAATAAACGGCTGAATTGATGGAAGTCTTGCTTTTGTCTCCTTGCTATGTCTAAACAGAATTATATAACAAAAAAGGATAAAATATAAAATCATAAGGAAAGTCTGTGTAAATCCCACGTGCCTAAATTAGCCAACTTGCCTGTCTCAAAGCCCAGTGTGCAGATCCTGCTTGGTACCTACTCAAAGCAAAGCAAACTCAGATTTGCAGATGTAATATTTTGATGGTGATAGAACATGACAATACCTCTCTTTGCAGACACTGAAAAATGAAAGAACAAGTTTACTAAACTGAGACAGAGTCAGAAGTAGCTCAGTTACTCTTTGGCTTGGAAAATGTGCTGCGTGCTGAACTTGGTACAGAAATATGTCTATGACAAGCCTCCAATCTGAGAGTGTTAAAGGGAACAGAAAGCTCTGAGATCAAGAAATCATAATAGGTGCTGAGCAGTCACCACAAGGCCTGGGTTATGGTGCTGTCCTACTGTGGTACCTCTAAGTCCATATTACAGGTAGCTCATGAAAGTAGACAGAGAAAAATATCAACAAAAATGTAGCTGCTAAAAATGGCTCCACTAGTGAAATGCTTGCCATGCAAGCATGGGGCTCTTAGATTGATCCTCCAGGACCCACATCAGAAAAGCAGACAGCAAACCGAGCACACCTATGATCCTAGCACTGAAAAGACAGAGATGTAAGGACTCAGAGACCTTGATGATTAGTCAACCAAGCCAAGTCAGTGGCCCCAGGCTCAGTGAGAGAGCCTGTCTCAGAAACTACAGTGGAAAGGAAATTAAGAAGTTACTAGATGTCAACCAATGGCTGACATACACACACACACACACACACACACACACACATGCACACATGCATGCACACACAAACATGCCAAAGAATTAACAATGAGGGCTTTGGGCCAGGCAGTGGTGGCGCACACCTTTAAAGCCAGCACTCGGGAGGCAGAGGCAGGCAGATCTCTGTGAGTTTGAGGCCAGGCTGCACCGACAGCCTCCAAAACAATACAGAGAAACCCCCCAAAAAACAAAACAAAACAAAAAACAATGAAGGCTTTGGATATCATTCTGAGTTGGAGCACCTGCATAGAATGTGTAAAGCCTACATCCAATCCCCGGCCACCCCTGCACACACCAAAAGCAGACTTAAAAATATAAGCGATCCAACTCAAAACAGCAATGTCTTAAGACAATCAAGAATGCCCCTTTTCCTTAGTGTGCTCAAATGGTACCAATCAACTGTCTCTGCGGACACGGACACAGCAGGAAACACTCCCAGTGGAAAATGAATTCGTTGAAGACAGTTCAGCCCTTTGGCCTGGTTGAATGGCCTCAAGTGTTTGCTGTAAAGTTATTAGTATTGGAAAAAGAGAAAATGGAGTGTGGAGGAGAAAGAAGAAAGGTAAAATAGATGCAGATTGGAGACGAAAGTAGAAAGATAAAGTAGATGCAGATTAGAGATGATGCTCTGGCCTTCAGCCTCAGGGAAAACAGAACCAAGACCAAGCCAAGAATGTCAAAAAAGATGCCAACATCTTTTTTCTGTCTGTAATTGCCATTGACATGGCCACTGATGGTGATTGATGGCAACTACTTTTTTTTTTGTCTGTGAGATGGTCCAGATGAGAACTGAAACGAAGAAGAGAAGCAAGCTCATGTATCCTAGAAGTGTCAATCATGCCATGAGCTCAAAGAAGGGTATCAGGCAGGGTTATTAAGAACAGAGACCAGGGCATTGTCGACAGTGCCATATTGGGTGCCTTCTTCTATTCGAAGGGAAGTGTTTACACATTTAAAAATTTATTATTAATTCCAAGGAAATAAAAATCCCTAGATCCACTTGTCACCAAGTTCCTTGTTAAAAAACCAGGTGCTAGGCAGGAGGACAATGTCAGAAGACATCATTAGGTTAACAAGTGAACTTGGGGGGCAGTGCTGAAGAGATAGCTCAGTGGTTAAAAGCACTGGCTGCTCTTTCAGAGATCCTGAGTTCAATTCCTAGCAACCATATCTGTTGCCCTCTTCTGGTACAAAGGTATATAAGCAGATAGAGCACACAAATACATAAAATAAATAAATCTTTACAAAAAAAAAACAGGAGAGATGGCTCAGAGGTTGGGAGCACTAACTGTTGTTCCAAAGGTCCTGAGTTCAATTCCCAGCAACCACATGTTGGCTCACAACCATCTGTGATGAAATCTATTGCCCTCTTCTGGCGTGAAGAGGCACATGCAGGCAGAACACTCTATACATACTAAATAAATAATTTTAAAAGAAAACATGGTGAAAAGTCCCTATAGAAAAAATATTGTTTAAAAGATTGAAAGCCAAGTGAAGACATTAGCGAATGTGGGGAATTCAACACCTCAGATATTCACCCACAAATTGTGCAGATGTTTCCTGGTAACAGGCTTAGTGCATCATGGCCAATTTATTCAGCATTGTTCCATGATGACTCCTAGGCTACTTTCTCACATAATATCAATCAGAGATTGCAGTATGATCTGGGTCAACCTCACTATAAAGTGTAGATTCTACCTTCACTCACATTTAGTTTCCTCTTACAGTAGTAACTGGAGGCTGGAGATTTGCCGTTCACTTGCTAGACGGGTCGACAGCATCACTGACCTGTTAAGGGACTCCCTCTAAAGGCCTGCATACATGTTTGCAGATCCTCACATGCCTGGGCTTAATGTGGTGTAATATATTTCACTGTGTCCTTCTCTGCGATATATAATTGTAATGTCACCATCTTCTTTCTCTACTGTCCTTTCAGATATTTTTAGTACAGCAAAGGGAAACAGTCAATAATATGGAGGACAGAAAGCACCAAGCATGCCAGCCAGAATGGGGGCGCCTGGCATCAGCAGCCAAGGGGGAAAATTCACAGGGACTGAGTGAGATTAGACAGTTAGAGGATCGTGAGCCTGCAGAGAACAAGGAAGCTTGGAAAAGCTGAAAGCACTGCTTGATCCAGAAAAGCAGAATGCAAAACTGCAGCTATTTCATGACTGAGAAGCTCTGAACTCAGTAATGACAGAGGAAAAACTCAGAGGTGACAGCAGACAGGAAATTAGATATTGGTTTGCATCATGTTCGTGTTTGGAGGAAGAATGCCATTTTTAAAAAAGAATAGGAAAAGTCTAGCAATGCTGTTGTGGGAGAACAGCGCTCTCATTGGCTGCTTCGTTACCTCTGCGGGTACTCAGGTAGAGTAAATTGGGAAGCTTTCCAGAGAGGAGCATTGAGCACCAGAGACTGTCAACTAGGAAAACAACAGGGAACATGAGGCATATGCAAGCGAGCAGAGATGGATTTTTAGGTTATTTGTATCACCAGCTGGCATGATATTGAAATCAGCCCCAGTCGAGTGTAGCTAAGGAATGTGTGACTTGGGTTGAAATCCAAACAACCTTGGACCACACACCCCACCCGGGGCAGCTAAGAGCCAGCCAGAGAAGATGCTATTCCCTTTACCTGGACCACTCTCCTGCTTAAGCCTGGTTTGATGAGCTATCTAGCAATTTAGGTTTGGGTGTCACCTACTTAGAAAAAAACTTAGCATCTCTAAATGATCTTCTTCCTCCACCTATACGAGTCTGTCTCATTTTCCGGGCCTCACAGGCCACTGCAAAAATCCTTCTCATTGGATATTTTGTTTATTTAATGACGGTGTTTATTTAATGCTAGGATGTGTGCCCCATAAGATCAGAAGTCTCCTTTGCCATATTCCCCAGTACTATTTAGTCCAATGACTGCTCACACTCAAAAGAAGAAAATAAATTCTTAAAATATAATATGTACATTCCTGAACACATGAACTTAATACACAAAAGAATCTAAATGCTTTAATTCTACTTCTTTAGTGCATATATGTATGTTTATCTTATTCCTTTGGTTGTTGTTGTTTTTGTTTTTCGGGACAGGGTTTCTCTGTGTAGCTCTGGTGTCCTGGAACTCCCTCTGTAGACCAGGCAGGTCACGAACTCAGAGATCTGCCTCCCAAGTGCTGGGATTAAGGGTATGTGACACAATGTCCAGCTATGTTTCTTTTAAAAAGAAAAGGCAAATTGATGGTTTGAAAAGGGAGATGATACCGTCGAAGTTTCACAGCTTTAGGCTGGGGCCTGTGGTTCTGGAGCGCATACTCTTAATCACTACGCTATCTGTCATCTGTGGTAGTGTGCTAACAATAAACACGCATTGGCCGAATGAACACATACTGATTGGATTACTGAATGAAAACATGACTGAGTGAGTGAATAGGGATTTGAATTCAGAGCACGCACCAAATTGAAACAAGCACCGTGTTGCAGTTGTTTTAGTTTTCCCTGCTCCATTCAGGACAATTTCCAAGCTCCAGCCTTCTAGAATCACCCTTGAAGACATCCACCTGCTTCAGAAACCCCCATGCTGGCTACCTGTGCGATGCTGAAGAGAGTCTCCATGCCTCGGGCTGCCAGGAAGGCCTCCCTGCCAGACCGGAGAGTGACAATGTGCCTGAGACAGAGCAGGAGCCCATGGCGGATCAGCACATAGGTGTTGGTCACATCGTGGCTGTGCCAGTCCTGATGCAGCCTGAGCAAGCTGGTGACATAGCCTTGGTTCACTGCCCTGCGGCTGTTAGACTCTGGAGACAAAGGGAAAAGGTCATGTCAATCATAGCTCCCCGGGACACAGCTGCCTGAGAATGCCACAGTGTGACTCCCACATAGTACTTATAAAGGCAATAATAACTTTTCAGTATATAAAACTGGCAGGTGTTATTTTAACCAAATGATCAAAATCAACATTTCCAGTAATGGGGTTGTAATGTAGCCCCCTTGTTATGATGACCTGAGAAAAACACAGTGTTGCTTCTATAGTATTCTATAGTATTCCTGCCAAAATTCATAGTGAGGTACACACTATAAGGCATGTAACGTAGATTGCTCACAAATGTCAAGATCATAAGAAGGAAGAAGAAAAAGAAAAGACTTGGAATGGGGACAGAAAGATAAGAATACATGACACCTAAGAATAGTATGTAATTGTAATGCAAATAATGGGCCAAGAAAAAAAATCATTCACTAGAAAAAGCATCAGTAAAGCTCGGGTTAAAATTTGAGGAAGGTTGTCTTTTCATGTAAAGATTTATCACTGTTTTCTCAGTGTGGGACATTATTCTAATTTTATTTCATGGAACTCAGGATTCCTCCTCTTCCTCCTGTATGATTAAAGTTTATCTCTATCTTGGAAAACAAGTGAGGAAGGTTTGTAGATTACCATGCAGCATGATGTCAATGTTTATGCCATGTAGTTATTTCCTTTTGATTGAAACAGTCCATCTCCTTCCTGGAGGGAGGCTCATAGGACAACTCACAAGATTCCCAAGACCCTTCCCCATGGTTATATAAGCAGGAAGCAGCTGTAGTGATTGAGGAGATGCTTTGCTGGAGCAGCTGCCTGCAAGTTCAGAGGGGTACAGCTGTAACTTTCATGAGTCACTGCTCATACTGCTGGGGTGGGCTCTTCGGTAGCACAGCCATCTGAGTCACCTGTGTCCCTGTAACTAACCTTTAACCATGCTCCTACTACAAACTAACCACATGGTTTCAGTAAACTAGAGATAAGTCGAATCTTTTCTTTAGTCTTTCATCAGTACCCTTTCTGTGATGAATATATGTTTATTCGTGTCTCCACAGGGAAAGTCACATAACACAATTGCCACGCAGAGACTACTTGACAGAGCCATAGATAATGTTGAAGGACGCTATTTAATGGCTCCTGCTATTGTCAGTAAGACATGCAGCTGAGACTGGTTTATCTGAAGGTAGGGTATCCAAGGGGCAGTCCCAATGTAGCTACCTTTTCCCCATTTAGTATGGGATGGTGTGGCTCCTTGCTGTTGTGGATGTTGTGTGGATTGACAAAACACACAACTGATGCTAAGTCATCTGAGGGCTGAGTGCCCTTGGGGGAAATCACAGGGTGGCTGTCATCCTCCAGGTGGCAGGAAGTGACTCATCTTGTGTCTAGAATGGGTTGGAAGTTGCACCCAGATGCCTTCTCGAGAAGATACTTCAATACCTAAAAGTGATTCATACTGAAAGGGTTCAGAGAAGGGCTGTGGTCATGTCTGTGGGTGATAAGACATATTACTGAAGCTGAACTTCCTGACTGAGAAGAACTTTGCCTTTGTGAGGGGGTTTCAATGGGAGAAAGATACATAGATGCTTTCCTCAACACCAGCATGAAAGTGTAAAAGGCTAGGAGGGGACTAGGGTGTTTGCCTGCTCTTTATTATAGCTGATAGGAGAGAGTACATGTTAGATCTTGCTGTTGAGCTCTTCCTGGGATCCCAACACATGGAATCGATGGGAAAGAATAGGACAACAAGGAGAAAGAGAGTGAGATCGAAAAGGACCTTCGATACAGAGAAAGGGAGCTCTTTGACTCTGTGTGCAGATGGGGGCTTTAATAATGGAGACTGTCATAATCAGGGAACAGAATCTCAGAAGTGCTGGAATTGGGCAAGCATTTTAAATAAGCAATGGAAGAATCCCTCACAACTCTGCTTGTGCAGCTGACAGACATGGCAGCAGACAGGATCAGTCTGAGTACTGTTCAAGTGGAAAAGTCGAGCAATGCAACTGTTCGTCCCTCCTCGAGACAAGGGCTTCAGACGAGGTGATACGAGGGTCCCTGATAGACAGACTCATACAGGCAATTTGGGATACTTAACTATCACTCAGTGAAGTTCTCATGAATATCAAAAATGGGGAGATAGGAGAGGATGGGCACATGTTACTGAAAGAATTAGGTGACAGGTTTTGTTCCTGAAGGAATTAGGTGGCAGGTTCTGTTCCATGCTCAGATTTTGTGTTCATGGAAAAGTTTTATAAAAGAAGTTAATTCAGTGGGGACCTCAAGACTAGTTTGGAGATTTAGTGGTTCTACAAAGACACATAGTAGGGCCCTGACCAATCAGGCATGTGAGTCACGCTCATGAGGCATAGGTCACATATTTCACCTTGCATATAGGCATACTGGATACAGAGGTTGTTCCCTCATGCTGGAATCTTTCAGCAATCAGGCGTGGCTGACAAAGAAGCAATAGGTGCTTTGGCCTGGGGCCTGTCAGACCCAGGGAGACAGCTTTCCAATTGCCCTCTAAATGCCTATCAATCACTGTTGCTCTCAGCCTCCATCATGGGGAGAAGTCTCTCTTGTCTTTGAAAAAAGCAGTGGGTACTTCAGAGACTCATAACCTGTAGAGCTGCTGAGAACAAGTAGCTGTTACTGTGACATAGTAGTTCAATGCATCCATAAGTGGAAGAAAACAAGCAGACATTCACATCACCTCCTCCAAGGTTCATAGAGCACCTCTTTTCAAGACTCAGGAAGCTCACAAAACTTACCGGGTTGACAAGATGCCCATCTTCAAAGTTATGTAAACAGTAAATGGCTGTGGAGCCAAGACTGTTCAGTAGAGCAACTGCCTATAAGCTGGGACAGGAAGTACCACCCATGCAAGTCTGTGAGTCATGACCCATGCAGAAATCAGGTGCTTGGGTGACACAGCTGCCTGAGTCTCTTGTGTTCTGGTAAGTTACCCATTATTCAAGCTCCTCTAAGTAATGTCCCAAAATTAATTGGTTCCCCAAGATAGACTTTCAATAGAATCAGGTGCTTTGGTCTACCATTCCCTATCTGAGAAGGATAGACATTTGTTTGTAACTCCCCAGGAAAAGTTTCACAAGTTTACTTCTAGATTCTGTTTGACAGAGGTTATATAAGAAAACATCCTACTTTTTAGTAAATTTACTGTTGAAAAATATGAATATCTTTAAGTTATTCTCAGAAAAAAAGAAGAGAAACGAGAAGAATTGGAAAGGTGAGAAAGATCAGGAGGGAAGATGATGGAAGGATTTAGAAGTGTCTCTAAAGGCTGAATGGGTTAAAAGGTCAAGGTAAGCACCCATCTTGAAGGTTATCACTTGCAAGAGACATGCTAGGTGCCTTTCTCAGAGTAGAGAAGCCCGTTCGCAGACTTTCATGGGGTTGCATATTTATTTAATATAGTTGCCATGTCAGCACCCATTTTCAGGTATTCTTTAATTTTGAAACCTCAATATACCACGTCACCTCTAGCCTAGTAAACATTCCCCTCATCAGGAATGATTCCAATATGATGTACTTATTCCTCAACTCATGGACTCTAAACAAGCCCTTCATCCAACTATCTGCTGGATCTAATAGAAAGCACCAAAGCCACATTAAGTATGTTCTCCTCACTCCACACTCCTTTGAAGAAGTCCGTCTGCAACCTCTATGAGCAAGCCCTTAAATGGACCATGGCCCTTAGAGAATCTGTGGGCCCTTTACATTCTCTCTTCCTACCACACACTGACTCCCTGCCACATCCAGATTCCTTTTTAGTGCCTACAGACATCCCACTTTTCTCCAGGTCTGAAACTAATAGCTCCTTCTGTGACAGTATGTGTTCAATTCTGTTGTATACTCTGTTCAACACACCAAATAGAACCTCCCCCTGGTCAGCCTTGTCCTTGTCAATGGCTGTCTTAACTTATGGCTCTTCTAGACAGAAGGACTGCAAGACCAAACTAGAAAGAAATTACAACAGAAGGCCGAGTTCAAACAAGAAGGGAACCCCTCACATAAAGACTATTAAACCCTAAGATGGGCTGGAGGAGGGGATCAAGCCGCTCTGATGATGTTCAGGCCAAGGCTGAAAGTTTATCCTGAAGGGTTGTCCTATGGGGCATCCCATCTATATCCGATAGAAGTTTAACAGAGTTTAGCCTTCCCTGACTTCCACACTAACATTTCTCCATCTCAGCTCAGTTTTCCTGGTAAGCTCCCCTGAGACCAATATATAAGTCTGTCTACCAAGAACTGTCCAGGATACCTCTCTCAACAATTAGTCCATGCTATTCTTCAGATTAACTTCCCTGGGCTCCAGGGTGAGTGAATGAGTGTGGGACTGTCAACCCAATCAGAGGACTGTGGGCCTTAGAGCTCCTGCAAACCTCCTGAGGCACGCTGTGGAGCTCTACAGGCCTGCCTCTGTGACTCTGCCACAGATGTTCAAAACCTGCCCTTCTCTCGAGGCTACATAGCTCCATTATATGAACCACTCATGCTGGTTTATGAGACAATATGTACTTCCAGCCAAGTGTGTGTGAGAGAGCTCCCCTGAGCAGTAATCAAAAGAGCAGAATTACAGCTTACACAAGACCATGTAAGTGCACACGAGTGTAAAAAACAACATGGAAATTCAATGCTGTATTCCATGGAGGATTTTTCTCATAATATTAACAGACCTTTTAATTTGCTTGTTTATAACATTTTAAGTTACAGGGCTTCACTAAGCACCCTTGAGACTTTTGACCCATGTGAGGAGTTGATTTTATTTTGGTTTTTCCTTTTATAACATTTAATGCAGCCATGACCCTGAATTGGTAGTGATGAGACTTATGCCCAGTGATGTGTTTGTGAAAGATTTAAAGCTCTTCCAATGCTTCCTTTAATAATTATTCCTTTGTAACAAAAATATTTCTTTCCTTGGATGATCTTGGCCACACTGTGCTAGAGTCCTTTGCTGCCAAATAAGGTTCCAGTCTATCT